AAACAGCTTCTAAATGTTCAAAGTTCAGACTGTTTTCTCTTCAGACGTTTCGGATATCATTACTGATACTGCGGCTTGTCAGATATTATGCAGCATCAACATTAATTCTAGTTGAATTAATGAATCTTGAAATTAGAGGCATTCCGGGCACCATAAGGAGCCAGTGCATAGGCCGCTTAAGTGGGCCCTTATGCACCTCTACAATCCTTTGATCACAAGCCTCGCGAAGTTGAGAATCGCCTTGAGTCCAAGCTCCTTGACCTGCTGAGGATCCAAAGTAATGGACCCCAGTATAGTGGCTCAGAGCTTCACAGCGACACAAAACGTGCGCCGAGGTCTCTTCCTCTACCCCGCAGCGTTCACACAAGGGATCCTCAGCCACCCCCATCACGTGCAGGTGACGCCTTAGCGTGTTATGGCCAGACAACAGTCCCACCAGCAACCTTAGGTTGGCTCTATCCATAGATAGGCAGAAGCGTCCATCCTTAGCACTGGGCCCTTCAATAAGTTCCCGTGCCTGGTGGAGATGTCTGGAGATACTTCTCCATTTCTGAGAGTGTTGTCTTGCAACCCACGTCTCCATTTTCCTCCTAGCTTTATGCGCGGTCACTCCTAGAGCTGGCTCAGTTCCAACGAGCTTGCTGGCTGATCCTGTCTTCGCCAGAGTGTCCGCCGTCTCATTGCCCCTTATCCCAGCGTGCCCCGGTACCCATATTAACGATACCGGATGCCTCGCTGCGAGGCAATCCAGAGCCTCCCTGCATTGCAATACAAGACTCGAAGTAATCTTACAGGTACTTAGTGCTTTCATTGCAGCCTGGCTGTCGGATAAGATTGTTATTCTTCTCCTAGGCCCACCCTCCTCCAGAATGTGAGATACACAAGCCAGAATCGCAAAGATTTCCGCCTGCTAAATAGTGATGTATGAGCTTCCATTGCACTCAATTGCGTTGTTCGCACTGCGCTTGTAATACTAATACAGGCCAAACGCTGAATTTTATTGAGTTTGGCCTTAGTTGTCTCAGTTCTTATGCAAGGCCACCAGACCAGGGAGCCGTACAAGAGAGATGAACGTAATATCGTCGTGTAGAGCCAGTATACCACTTTGGGTTTAATCCCCCACCTTACACCGACAACACGTCTACAAGCTCACATCGAATTGCGAGCCTTGCTAACCTTGTATTCAACATGCTCTCTCCAGTTCAGTTTGCAAACAGGATAATTCCCAGATATTTCACTGACTGGGACAAAATTAATCTAGTCCCAAAGAAGGTCGGCATGACCAGCCCGTCAAGCCTTCTTCTCCTAGTGAATAGGATCAGCTCGGTCTTTTCAGCATTAACCCGTAAGTACTACTATCGGGGTCTCCGGGACCCCTCTTATATTACTAGCGGCTGATTCCGCAAAAAATAAAAGAGTGGGGGTAACGACGCTCTGGCTATGTATTCCAGAGCCAGTGCACCCTCCAACGCGACAGTGATTGTATCTGCCTGATTTGAACGTGGGCCACAGTGACGTAGCATGGGTCCGTCGGACCCCATAGTAGTCAAAGTGTGATAAAAATAGGTAATGCAGTATTCTATTTCATTATTACTATGATCATATTTAGAGACTAATTATGGAATACTGGGTATAGTATTATATTATACATAAATATACACATCAATAAATCTTTATTACGATGTGATTGCAGAGTTCCATGTAATATTTTTGCATACCTTCAACCTATGACAGTGTTCTTATGATTTTCAGATATAAGCAATATGGCTAAATCATGGAAATCGAAACTATCAGATGATGACTTGAGGAAGATAATAGAGAGTGATAATTTTTGGGATGACAGCGATATAGGCGAAAATGATGAAATCGATGCCAGCGCAAGCGATGAATTAGATACACTTCAACAAATAGTAGATACAGGCGACCAAAGTGACTCTGATGAAAAAGATGTAGAGATACTCAGTCAACATGATTCTGACAGCGAGCTAGAATGGAACCCAAGTGACGATGAGGAAAAAGTTGAATCATCAAAGGTAACAAAATCCAGCATGTATTATTACGGGAAGGATAAAACCAAGTGGTCCATGGAAGCACCAGGACGTACAAGAACTTTGTCCCATAACATCGTAGCTGTGCTACCTGGGCTAAAAGGTCAAATTCAAAACAGCCCACCGCAAACACCGTTAGAGACATGGGAACTTCTTTTCACAAATGATATTTTGGAAATGATTGTGCAACATTCAAATAATAAAATTGATAGCATGAGACGTAAATACAAAAAGTTCAAATATACAAATGTACCGCGCAAAATCCGAATGAATGCTGCTGACATATTGAGGTTGGCATTGGAAGAACCTACTGAACCTAATGAAATACCAAGCAGGTCAAAAAGACCGAGATGCCGCTTATGTCCACGAAACAAGGATAGAAAGACGAGTAATATATGTTCAACTTGCAAAATACCTGTTTGCCTTTACTGTTCCAAAATAATATGTAACAACTGTATTTGATGTGCTTTATTTCTGTAAATAACTTATATATTAAACATTTTAACTTTAGCAAAAGAATAAATTGTTTATTTCTCGCTTACGGAGTTTTTATGAACAACAATTGAAATGGGTCCGTGGGACCCCATAGTAGCAGTAATGGAATAAATATTGGTTAGTAGTACTTACGGGTTAACAGAAAGATCGACTTCCCCACACCACGATTTCACAGAGCGCAGAGCGCCCTGCATAATTTCCGAGACTGTTCTACAAAAACGCCCCCTAACTACTATGCTTACGTCATCAGCATAGGCTTGCACGTAGACACCTATACTGCTTAATTCTAGTTGGAAGTTAGAAGTAATACATATTTGAATTGAATGAGACTGACACAAGGATATAAAATTAGAATACATTAAAAGGATGATTATTCCGATAATCTCAGGATCTTTCTTTAGAAGTTTGTGGAATATATAATATGCGATTGTTTACAAACAAGCTACTTAAATGCCTTTGTACTTTCTCCAGTAGAAATGTCTAACATACCGTTTAACACACACACACACACGTAGCCAACGGTATCGAAAGCTAGCAAAAAATCGTAAAATTGTTCGATGTGGAAATATGATAAACGGTTGATAGCATTTTCTCCAGACAATAATTAACGCTATAATTGGAGAATAGGCAGACGTTACATAAACAACAGTGTTTGGCTGGAAGCGTCGTTAATTTTTTACGAGGTGACGATAAGTGAGAGGAGTCCATCTAATCCAAAATTATTCATATCATGAAATATGTAGTTACAAGCAACACTTCATAACAGTAGGGCTTAGGCTTAGTACCCCTGCCTACCTATCTCAGAGAGTGTTGATCAATATTCCGTTATAGACCTAATTCTCTATTCAGCTGCTCAGAGAGGTAGATCAGGGCTAAATATTCTTTCATGGACCCTTCCCTTGCTAAACTATCTTCCATTTCAGGAAGAAAGAAAGAATCCCCGTGGGTTTCGGTTAAAAAAAGTCCCAATGAGGCCATCCCCTCCATGATCGCCTACGGAACCCAGAAATTCCCCAACTAGGGGCTATTGATATACAAAGTGTTTCACAACTTATCCGACAAATTTTAACCACATATATATATATATATATATATATATATATATATATATATATATACAAAACATGTTTAAGCGGAAAAGAGAAAGAAGGAAAAAAAGGAGGGAAGAACTAGAGCAAACAAAAGAAGTTAATCATTTGAAGTAGCTTAAGCATTATTGCTTTGACTACTCGAATAATTTTGTAAATTTTGATCGGTTTTGTATACTGATATAATACTGGTATAATTTTGGCTGGTCTGAATTCACAATTTAAGTTTGATCACAGTGCGAGGCACGGTCTGAAATGTTTGCGAAATTATCAGAGATGCAAAACATACTGTTGTTAAGATATTTCCCAAACTGGCCAATGGCGTTCTTGGATTAGACCTTGAAGGTTATGGTCAAGGTCAGGCACATTTTTAAAAGTGATACATCGTACCTTTCACCAGGAAAATGGCCAAATCGTACTATTTTCATGTAGTCCCTAAGCATTTCGGAAACCTCTCCCGGACCTCCTATAAAACCCATACGTCTCCCAATTGGGGCGTATAGATAGATGCAGGATATTATTATAACTTTTAGTGTTGGTAGAGAACGAACTGTTAAAATATATTACGGAGTGGCCAATAATGAACTTGGATTTGACCTTGCCGTGACCTTAAATGTTATGGTCAAGGTCAAGTCATTTTTCTAAGTGGTACATTCTATTTGGAAGTGATGCAACTTATTTTTACTGAGCGACTGGTGGTAAGTAAGTACTAAATTGCATATTAGACGCTGCTAATCATGAACTTCAAAATATGGTTGAAATAATAAATGACGAAAGAGAAAACCAGTGTGATAGGATTAGAGAAGAGGAGGTTATTGGCTGGTCTGGGAGAAATACTAACAACAGTTGTATGTTTGACTTCTTCTCTGATAAAATTACTTTAAAACTATTGTCCTCCCGTATCTATCAATAACTACTTGGGCCATTTCTTCGTTCCATAGAGCATCGGGATTATTCATATCCAGAAATATGCAGATACACAAACAACCTTCATAACAGTAGGGCTCAGGCTTAGTACCTCTGCTTACCGGATATATTTCCCTACCTCAGAGAGTGTTGATTTTAAATCCATCGCTATTCTGTTGTAGTCCTAATTCTCTATTCATCAAATCCCTTACTAAACTATCTTCCATGCAGAAAGAAAAAAGAAAGAACCCCGTAGTTTTCCTATGGGGAGACGTTTCTAAGGATTGGCCCCATTGGGACCTTTTTAATTTAGCCGAAAGCCGTTCTCCATAAGAAAACTGAAGAGTTCTTTGGTGTTTTGCTGCAACATCGTCTATGGTTCGCGGTTATATGTATAAAGCTCGGCAGCCTCATACCTGGACCATAAAACAATAATAAACGATTGCCACTAAAAGTTGCTTACTTAGCTAAGCCAACATGCTGGAGGTGCAGCCTGGCTATGAGGAAAGGTAGTTTATCGTCGCTTACGTCATTGTCGATCCTGGATTTGAGATTCGATGCGACAATTATGCCATTACTAAATCGAAGCTCTAGAAATATATTTGATTTCAACAGTACAAGTTTCCAATAAAATTTCGCGTATGAAATACACAGGCACAGATTCCTTCTTTTCCACGACTCGCTTTGCATACAATAATTATGCAGTTAACAGAACTTGTTTCGTAAGCCCCAGTTTGAAAAGGAGCAAGAAATCGATTAACGTAATCAGATAAATGTGTCCACCATGTCGGATCGATATTATAATGAAACCAGTCGATGTAATCGCGCTTTTTCACAAAAAGAAGATCTCTTATTGCATATTAGCATTCATGGTATTGCATATATTGTTTACCGTTTATCGTACCGTGTATTGGGAATAAAGTTACAGAGCATTCAGAATCTAATGGAGTAGAAAACGTGAGACAAATAATCCTTTGAAAGATAAAGCAAAATCTAAAACTTAAAAACCATTTAGGCCCGACTTTACTTTTGACCCGCGAGGATCAAAATTTGCGCCTTTGGCACAAAATGGACCAATGATGATGGATTTGAAAATTTTGATCGATTTCTTGTGAAATGTCTCTCAACTAGAGAAAAATTATAGGATTTGTATAAGATGGGCTCATAATTCTCATATTAAATTGAGAAATACTCCCTGGTTCAGCTACAAAACCTATTTTTCGTGTGTCTCCGGATACAAAAGTTGACGCAAATTCCACCAATGAAAAAGAAGAATTTGCGTATAATCGGCAAATTCGACGAATCAAAAACATGGATCAAACCTTATACCTGGCACCATTACTGAACATTTTATTATGCCTAATAAACTCTTTGAAGTTGTAAATAAAATTACAGAATGCTCATTATTCAATAAGCATCGAGTAAGTTATCAATTTACTTGATTACCGTGCGAAAAACCCTGTTACTGCCCTCCGGGAGATGTCGCGTACACGGTGAAGGTAGCAAGGCTAGAAGTAGTTGTCCCACTGCCCGATAGAAGGCGTGAGAGCTCCGTATTAACAGGGCTGGCTTAAGGAACCGAGTTTTTCGCACGGTAGTCAAATAGATTGAATATTTACTCGATATTTGCTAAAAAAAGCATTCTGTATGCCCTCAAAGAGTATATCAAGCAACATTTTCTACAGCAACAGTGAGGCACTGTTATTTTCAATAAAATACTGATTTAATTGCTGTCATATCCATCTATTGTATCAGATTTGTCCATGTTTCGATGCTCCTTTAAAATCGTACCCTAAGGCCTTTGATATCGCTTAAAGCTGTGCGCTTTACCCCTAAGGTCGTGATATACTGCCGTTTAAAGCATCCAGATATATGATGGTTCATAATTACAAACGAAGAAATAAGGTCTCGTACGCAAGCCTGTTTCACCCGTTAGCCGAGAACCTGGACTGTGAGGCCTCAATCTTGCAGGAAAAAATGAGGAAATGTGAAAGAAGGAAAGACCACATTGTTTTTGTTTGAAAACTTGAATTTAATGTGCATTCTGTTCTTACACTGCTGTTTATTATTTCCCTTTTTAATTACGTTATAACAAGCACAAACGACTTGGCAATCCCCCTGAAGGTACGCAACCCACACTACTTGCCCCCCAATATGTGAATGCGACACTACTACGAGCCCCTTCCCACTTTAGTTGGCCCACTTCAAGATTTGTACCAAAATATGCCTTTATAAACTAAACATGACGAAACTATTTACTTCTAAAACAATTTATTGTCTCAAAAACGTTTTAGATACACTCTAGTCGTAAAAAATACATATTTGAAATCACTTTAATTGCGCGCCATTTTTGATACAAGCATTTCAGTAGGTGGAGCCGTAGTTGTTTAAAGCACATGCGTCCAATTCATCGTGGAGCGCTACACGATCGCACAACGTGTCTGTATTGTTGAAACGTTTTACTTGTATTGTATTAAGTCGATTGTTGCAACGATTCGGAAGCTACGAGAACATTTCGGTCAAATAATGTGCCCAGTGCCAACAACATTCGTCAGTTGGTGCAGAAATTTGAACAAACAGGTGAAGTTAAAGTCTTGCCAAGGTCGGGCCGTGTTTGAACTGTTCGTACCCGAAACGTCTACCAGACATCGTTCTCAAGAATTGGGTATTCGTCGCACATCATTATGCACTATTTAAAAAAAAGACTTGCATTTGCGGCCATACAAAATTCAGGTAACCCAACAACTACAACCTAGTGACCATGAAGGTCGCCGACAATACAGTCATGCAATATCGCAGCTTAATACCCAAAATAACGAGTTTTACCGACAAATGATAATGAGCGATGAAGCTCTCTTCGATAGGAACGGATTTGTCAACAAGCAGAATTGTCGTATCTGGGCATTAGAGAACCTTCGTGACATCCATCAACGACCACTACATCCGCGTCGGGTCACAGTTTGGTGCGGTGTTTGGTATGGAGATGTCATTGGAGCTTACTTGCAAAACATGTGGTGTAGGGAAACAATGAATCTTGTGCGAATTTTTTTTAATAGGGATATTTGAAAATACGGTTTATCCCAGCAAACCAAATAGTGTAGAGCAGCTGAATGAAGTACAATATTACGGAAGCGATTCAAAATTCCTCCCGAAACCTACCAAAAAGTGATTGAAAATGTAATCAAGAGGGCTCAGGTTTGCGTGGCTTCTAGAGGCGGACATTTGTCTGATATTATTTCTCATACATAATTTCTAAGTTTCAATAAAAGATTAAGATGAAAACATCCACGTATTTTATTTCATTTCACAAATATTCAAGATACAAACCAGTCAGTTACATATTGGCCACCCTGCAGAAGTGCTTAAGGCAAAAAGGCATGCAAGTACTCTTATCAAGATTAATCTTCAATATGTGTCTCTTACGAATCAGTTACATTGGAAAAATCGTTATTTACTTTATATGACACTCCATGCTGATTTCTACAGATTATGTAGCACAATGTTCAATACATGAATGTAAATCGAAAGTATATATTAAATACAGCAAACGACCTAGAATATACCCCTAAAAGATACCTGAAGAACATTTTGTTCACGATTCAGATCAGAAAGTCCAGTGCATTTTAATCTACTCAACAAAATTTTGTGATTAAGCGTGTCGAACGCCTTAGAAAAATCAATCATTACTAAAACAGTATTAATAGATGAAGCTAGAGTTTTCTAGATGTATTGGAGGAGTACAAGAAATGCAATGCATACCACCATATATTTTGCAATGCATATTAGACTACAAGTATGACAATTAGTAATTTCCTGCCTAATAGTTCCCGATTATATTATACGGAGAAACAGTTTTGTAATAATTATACCTCTCAAAGGAGGAAACGCCACAAGGTTTTGGCGCTCGAGTTTGCAAAATCAGACCAGTGCATATACTCGTACACATGTCTATATTGCACCTGCATAACTTATAATTTTTTCGATAGTCCCGTTTGTTACGAAACGTCCGTCGTTAAGTAACTGTTCAATTGTACATTCCAGAAAACGTTAATTTGCCAATTTGAAATCACAACCGTATAGGTATGCAGATAATGTAATTTCAATAATAAAATTAGTATAATCATGTTTTGACGGATATTTAGCTGCTTAAATACCGATTCCGTAAGAGCGGCGTTCAAACGTATACTTTATATAATGTTAGCAAGTTCTTTCAATCTTCGTGGAAACTATTCACCAGAAGCGAAGAGCATAGAGGGGGGAACGCGTTGTATAAAAAGGGCCCTATGAAATCCGTCATGTGGGATTAACTAAGGCTTGGCAATGGTAAATATAACATTAATATTTTTGAACAATTATTTATAACATTAGTTATTTTCTTATAAATGTTTATATCTAAGTAGATGAAACAAACCAACGACTGCAAAACTCCTAACCCCATCAGTTGTAAATGACATAAAATCTTCTTAATAAATCAAACATTATAGGATGAACAAATTATTTTATTCAATACGCATTGTTTTCTCTGTAACTTATGACAAATAAAGTCTTTACGCTGTGTATTTATAATATATTCGTATTTATATTACAAAAATGTTTACGTAACATCAAGACTACTTGAATTTTCAAAAACTTGACAGACAGACTTGATACTAGATTACTAATATCTAATATTTGACTTGATTTCAAGGTAATAGAACTAGCTCAAATAGTTTGAAAATCAAGTCGAGTTGTGAATCCCTAATCAGAACAATAGAGAACTATCAGTTTGAAATTGAAATTGTCCCTAAACTCAGATGGACTAAATGCCTGTTATTTTCATTAATATCCACAAAGACAAATATTTCAGTCTTGCATACCCTAGGTCCTAGGTGACGCTGTCATCGCGCATAGTTAACATCATTACTACAGTATATTCAGATAAGAGATAGACCGGATGTAAACAAAAGGTTCGGGTGATTTTCACGCTAACGCCGCCGTCTCGAGGTAAAACAGGAGCCCTCATTGGTCAATTCGCAATTAAATGTTTATGCCGAGCGGCAGAGCAGTCGTATCAAGGCAGAGTCACATTCAGGTTCTGACGTGTTACGTATGTCGTGTGCATCATTGCAATTTGATATTTCTTTGGACGTTTTCGTTTGTTATCTTATTAAGTTGTTGAGTTTGTCGTTGTTATTGTTATACCTTGTTATTGATTGTTATTGTTATTGCGCAAAATGCCCAGTAGTACAGATACTGCCGATGAAGTTGTAAACTCCTGTAGTCCACCTAGGAAACGCTCTAAAAAAAGACACCTGAGTGCAGAAATGAAAGAGGTCATTTTGAATATATATAAGATCGAGCGCGAGGAGAACGAGGCATCAACCATCAAAGAAATTGTTGTGAAGGTTTCTCACAAAGTTGGGGTGTGTCGCGCATCAGTGTTTAATGTGTTAAGACAATACAAAAAAAATCACACCTTTTCTGAGCCAATGACCAGTAAACATCGCAAAAGTATTGTTAAATCATTGGATGAAGCTGATAAGCATGCGATTAGGAGGAAAGTGCATGAATTCTTCTTTAGGAATGAAATACCTACTATAGATAAAGTACT